GTTATTCGCTCCAGTCTTTGTGACATGCGTGAGAAGGATTATGAATCCAAAGGCATTGGCTGCTATATGTTCCGCATTGACGATGACATAGTGATTGATGCTACCATGCATGGCAATGCTGCAAGATTTATTAATCATTCATGTGATGTAAGTAATTTTTTTGAGGTAGAATAAATTTAATATGTCTGACATTTATATATTTTTGTTTTAACAACTACACTTCAGTAATCATTTTGGCTTATCTTTGCATGTACTCTCCTATTTATGGTTGTTGGGGTTGAATCTTAAGTTTGTGTGTGTTGGGGAGTGTTTGTGCGTGTGGATGTATATGCTTTAGTGTGCAGAGGTGTTGCAGAGGTCAAGTCTTAGCTCCTGGCCTAGCCTCTTAACTTTCCGTTCATCAATTTCACTCATAGCTTCGTGGACCACATCATGCTTATTCTTAAAACTAAAGAATAAATAGGCACAATACCATGACTAAAACAATACACACACAACTCGCACAGGAAATATGAGTAAATCTTCTATTTGTGTGTGATTATGAATTCAAAATGGAAGGTAAGTATAATGTAGTAGAGGTCTGGGGATATAATTAATGAGCAGAGGAAATGTTTTAGTGCCTGGAAAATCTACATTGTTTATTTTGCACTATTTTTAGATCAGTATTTTTTAAATGATGTAAAATTGGCCAAATTACTTAATTCTGTGCACTTTATAGTGTAGTTGTAATAGTTGAATGGGCAGTTTCTTTTGGTCAATCGATAAAACAGAAGGCATGCTAGTAAAATAGCTAAGAATTTGGTCAAATGAAGTGATAGCACTGACTTAAAATGTGATTCAAAATGGGCAAAATTGCCATTGTGCAAATTGTGCCCTGACCTCTCAATTTGTGCCTGCGTAATTACGTAAGTTATCCATTAAACTTCTTACTTTTGATGTCACTACCCTCAGAAAAAGATTCTCTACCATTTCAGATTGTTTTTTTTAAAGTGAACACTGGTAGTAATATTAATTTTTAAGATCTGAACAGTGAAAGGGTTAATAACGCTGAGCTCACATTTAAAAACAAAAAATTTCTGTTATGGTAGAGAGAGTACCTTTTCAGAATAACGGTAGATAAGCTACCTCCAGCAAATGTAAGGTTATAAAGATTATAGAAGGAGCCAGAAGACCAGACAACAGGGTACAGACTCTGGGACAGAGAATGCAGCTCTGATGCAAGCTGGTGTGGAAATCGACTAATTCGGAAATTGAGCAATTTTTTCGGCGAAATCCCCCCCCCCCCCCCCGGATTTCGTGCATCCGCGTGGCAATCGTTGGTACCAGACACATGCATTATGAGGCAGCATCGCTTTGTTTTTCAGTGAGTGAACATTATCCTTTGAGGTCATAGGAAACAATTTGTAATAATTCATTGTTTTTTGCACTTGTTTATTCTGTGTGACTGCTAAATAAGCCACCAAAGGCCCAAAGAAAGCTGCTAGTGCCAGCCCGTTGATAAAGGTGAGAAACATGATAGAATTCAAGAAAAAACTTGTAACAAAGTACCAAAGTGGAGGAGGGAGAATGTGCCCTCTTCAGTGACTCTATGATATGTGCGATACTAAAGCAGCCGGAGTCGATAAAGGCTATAGCGCCAGGCAGCAATGAAATGTAGCATGAACAGTGTAGCAAGTAAGTTAAGCAATTAAGCGATAGAAAAAGGATGAAACGAAGCTAACTCCTCCAGTGTTATTGGAGGTATATAGGGCCACTGACAAACATACGCTGCCCTGCCCATCTTTCACCACCCTGAACCAATGCCAGCTCCTCCAAGGTACAGTAAGTGTAAATTTGTTTTTTCTTTTTTTTACGACAAACTGACCGTATCCCACCAAGGCAGGGTGGCCCAAAAAGAAAAACAAAAGTTTCTCTTTTTAAATTTAGTAATTTATACAAAAGAAGGGGTTACTAGCCCCTTGCCCCCAGCATTTTAGTCACCTCTTACAACACGCATGGCTTATGGAGGAAGAATTCTGTTCCGCTTCCCCATGGAGATAAGAGAAAATAAACAAGAATAAGAACTAGAAAGAAAATAGCAGAAAATCCAGAGGGGTGTGTATATTATATATATGCTTGTACATGTATGTGTAGTGTTTACCTGGAGAGAGTTCCGGGGGTCAACGCCCCCATGGCCCGGTCTGTGACCAGGCCTCAGTGTGACCTAAGTGTAAGTAGAAGTAGCAAGATGTACCTGAAATCTTGCATGTTTATGAGACAGAAAAAAGGACACCAGCAATCCTACCATCATGTAAAACAATTACAGGCTTTCGTTGTACACTCATTTGGCAGGACGGTAGTACCTCCCTGGGTGGTTGCTGTCTACCAACCTACTAACTAGGATAGGTGTAAATATTTCTTATTTCTTCTTTCTTTCTCTCAACACACCGGCCGTATCCCACCAAGGCAGGGTGGCCCAAAAGATAAAACGAAAGTTTCTCCTTTTACATTTAGTAATATATACAGGAGAAGAGGTTACTAGCTCCTTGCTCCCGGCATTTTAGTCGCCTCTTACAACACGCATGGCTTACAGAGGAAGAATTCTATTCCACTTCCCCATGGAGATAAGAGGAAATAAACAAGAATAAGAACTAGAAGAAAACCCAGAGGGGTGTGTATATAGTATATGCTTGTACATGTATGTGTAGTGTGACCTAAGTGTAAGTAGAAGTAGCAAGACGTACCTGAAACCTTGCATATTTGAGACAGAAAAGTGGACACCAGCAATCCTACCATCATGTAAAACAATTACAGGCTTTCGTTTTACACTCACTTGGCAGGACGGTAGTACCTCCCTGGGTGGTTGCTGTCTACCAACCTACTACCTAGGGTAGGTGTAAATATTTCTTATTTATAAAGTATAAATATTTCTTATTTATAAATTATGTACATTGTGTGGATAGTGTTGGGTCCAGGCTTCTGCTGCCACCTCCACTACCATTAATATGTACGGCTTCTCTCAGTGGCCCTTATAAACCCAACAATAACACCACCACCACTTACTCCTCACATACAAAATTACATATTTTGTTCATTCTAGAGTATATATCATGTTTCTGTGTTATTGATATTGTTTATTATGTCATATTAGATGAATTGTGATAGATAAATAAGCCTTGGAATATAGTTATTCTCTATAAAATGTATTTTTTTTTATACTTTTGGGTGTCTGAAACGGATTAATTGGATTTACATTATTTCTTATGAGGAAAATGATTTCAGCTTTCATGAATTTTACATTTTGTCAGACTCGCTGGAACGGATTAGTCATGAAAAGGGAGAGTCCACTGTAATAATCACTTGGGCACATTAAATGTCTTATTTTAGGTTTATATAGACATTTTCATTAACCCATCAATATTTTCTTCAGAATTATATAAGAAACACGTTACATAGTATTTAACTCTTTAACTGTTTACGCTGTATAAATACGTCTTACACACCACTGTTTCTGACGTATCAATACACATAAATTCTAGCGGCTTCAAATCAAGCAGGAGAAAACTGGTAGGCCCACATGTGAGAGAATGGGTCTCCATAGTCAGTGTGCACTATATAAAAAAAATCGGGGATCCAGTGGTGCATTGTGGGAATACCATTTCAGTTGTCCTTTTTCAGCATGCCTAGCGGTAAGAAATATGTGATTCCCCAGCAAATCTGGGACTCTTCTCTTCCCAAGTGATGCTCTAACACAGATGGAAGTGTCAGTGAAGATCAATTTCATGGTTTTGAGGAGTTTGAGACCAAAAGCAATGCCCAGTATACCAGAAGAATGGAGGAGGAGGAGGAAGAAGAGGAGGAGGAGGAAGAGGAGGAGGAGGAAGAAGAGAAGGAAGAATAATAATATGTTCCCTTGAAGCATGGAAAACAGTTCACCCATGACAGTGACAAGATAAGGTGAGATAACATCTGATAAGAGCTGATGTTTGATGAGGGTAAAGGAGGGTGGAGAGAGGGGGCAGCTGATAAGAAAAGATTAGATGACCATCCCCCTCCCTCTGTTTTTGCTGGTACACAAACATTTGTCTGTCTGTCTATTTGTCTGTCTGCCAAGCTCCCTGTCTATCCGTCTAGCTCTCTGTCTCAGAGAGAGCCACAAGACTGCGTCATCACGTTTACTCACATCTTCAAGCAGAGTATAGCACTTTGTCTGGATTTCTTGAGTTATCCTAGGTAATTTACACTATGTATACTTGTATTTATGTGTACCTGTGAGACAGAGATGGACAGATTGAAAGAGATAGAATGAGGGAGAAAGGTAATTAGAATGGAGGGGAAGCAGCATCCGATCCCATTGTTTTGACAGGCAGTAGGGGGAGTGAGCAATGAGACAATATGTCATTTTGACAGCTGCCGACTCCTGACTCAAAACAATTATAAGCCACACACTCACACACAAGAAAAGCTTGCTGAATGGAGATAATAGCAGTTATATGAAAGTAGTGACTATATATGTGTATATATATTATAGAAACCAGAAGCAAGAAGGGAAGGCAGGAATGAAGGAAGGACAGATAAAGGAATGTAGGAAGAGAGGTAGGAAAGGAATACAGGAAAGGAATGAAGGAAAGGAATGCAGGAAAGTAGGAAGGAAGGAATGATGACACACAACCATTTACCTAGGATAACTACATAACAGGAAAGTGGGTGCGGGAGGGAAGAGGAGCGATTGGTGGAATGATGATGTAAAGAGAGTAGTAAGGGAGAAAAAGTTAGCATATGAGAAGTTTTTACAAAGTAGAAGTGATGCAAGGAGGGAAGAGTATATGGAGAAAAAGAGAGAGGTTAAGAGAGTGGTGAAGCAATGTAAAAAGAGAGCAAATGAGAGAGTGGGTGAGATGTTATCAACAAATTTTGTTGAAAACAAAAAAAAGTTTTGGAGTGAGATTAACAAGTTAAGGAAGCCTAGAGAACAAATGGATTTGTCAGTTAAAAATAGGAGAGGAGAGTTATTAAATGGAGAGTTAGAGGTATTGGGAAGATGGAGGGAATATTTTGAGGAATTGTTAAATGTTGATGAAGATAGGGAAGCTGTGATTTCGTGTATAGGGCAAGGAGGAATAACATCTTGCAGGAGTGAGGAAGAGCCAGTTGTGAGTGTGGAGGAA